TTAAATTAGGTAACATAATACATAAAACCGGTTACAGCAATATCTATTGATTCATATATTTTATTAATTATAAATTCCAAAAATAGTACATAAATTAAAGTAAGCTTCAAAAATAAAATAATATAGTAAAAGAATAATTTGTTAAGTATTAATTGATTATGTCAAATTAACAAAAATATATTTTATTTTGGAATAAGGAAATCAAAATTGATATTGTTATTAAAAAAAAAGTAAGTAAATTAAAAAACAATAACAATAAAAGGTTATATTTTTGCTTTAAAAATGTAGTTTTTAAATAGTTATGAGTCATTTTGTAACGACTTAAAAATTAAAATTAGACATTTTTCATAAACTTTAATCATTGTTTTGTTTGTTAAGGTTATAACTTATAAGTTATAAGTAATAAACAGTAAACTTATTTTAATATGTACTGGTGTTGTATTAACCACTATAATATAATACAATCATTATGAGTTTTACTATATCAATGAATAATAATTGTTTTAACTACCTATCGTTTAATGTGAAATTAACGCCAAGCTTCTCTCAGATCTTAATCGATACACAACACTGTATCAAATTGCCACTAACACTTGTTGAATCCACTACAGATTTCTAACTGTATATAACTACATTGATTTTTCTTGTTTACTCTACTAAAATTGGCAGTTTTTAGTAAAATAATTGTTAGATTTTTTTCACGAAGTTGTAATTACGTAAGTTTTCAATTAATTTGCAACATACATATATGCTATAAAAAAGACTAAAATAAATGTAGTAAAAAGTATGAATTTAAGATTGTACAATATGATCTAAAAAAATAAAAAGTAAGTATACTCATTCAAATATGCAGAAATATGATCCAACAGAATTCTTATTTTTAATCATACCTCACCATCGTAGGTACATATATTGTAAATTATGAGCCTATGATACAATATTATCAACCAGTAAAAATATGCAAATACATTAAAATCTGAGCCCTATAGTTATAAATAAAAATATTATAATTTGTAATTTCAGGATTTTAATTCTTTCTTATTTTATTAATTCTAGAAACTCGTATATTGTTTGTGAATTGAGAGAACCTGTTCGGGAAAATTGTTTTCAGCATACCAATATAGAGGCTATAATACATATAGATATAGTCCCAGGACAGTAATGACCTTGGTCTAGCACTTCTATAATCATCATTAATCAGTTGAGCCAAAAAACAAAAATATATTATGCATACAGCACATTATAATATATTAATATATAACATAATTTACGTATGGACTATAGCAGAGGTTCTCAACCTTTTTCACTTTACAAATCCTTTTTAGATTTGTAGAAACTCACTTCCTTCCCCCTACCGTATTAAAAATATTTTAATACGACCCCGGAATTGTGTATAGGCCGACCTCTTCGATTTTACCTTGTAATTGTTTTTAATTAAATTAAATCTCACGCCTCATCCCCTCCGAAAATAATTATCGCCCTCGCGGATTGGGAAACAATGAACTATATATAGCAGATCGTAAGTTCTTTTTAAGAAATCATAACTGTTGTCTACAGGCTCTAGAATACATTAATTTTTTTTTGTAATTCTAGGTTAAGCCTTAAAGAAAACTTAAGATTGAGTTGTTTAAAGTAACTCTAATTACTCCTGCTGTTTGAGTAGATAATCGCGCGTCATGAACTGGATGCGGCGTATTATATATTATACTGAAATAAAATCAAAATTAAGGATATGGAGAGAAATATTCAACAGTCCCTTCATGGCCCATGGACTGATGGACATAATAATATATTCACTATTTCACTCAGATGTTTAAGGCATATAATATAATTAATATACAATATTATCGTATATAATATACTAATGGGTGATATATTATCTATATCGTACTATCGTAGTTACTAGTTTCTAATAGTAAGCTAGCTAGATAGATATTTCATTAAAACAAAGACAAATGTTAGCAAACAACTCTAGTTATTTTATAATATAGGTAATGCCTTACGCGTTATGAAACCACTACGGATTCAACGATAGTAATAGTAGGTATCAGGTATGTACCTATACTATAGCCGTACCTAGTCATAATATTTGTAAAAGTCGAAATTTAATTCTACGACAATTATTTTTTCTTATACTTCAAAAATAAATAAGCAGTTTTACTGCTCCAATCGGTGATGACAGACACACAAAAAAAAAATGTTAAGAAATAAAAACAAACACACATCATTGTAAAATCAATACATTCATCGCACCTCTCAGAATCTAAAAAATTGTCTATTGCTTGCAACAAATGGTAAGAATAATATACAACATTATATAATACGATCAACACTCACCTACAATATTATAATTCCATATTATAATATTGAAATATGATGGTTTCAGGCTTTCAGCGATGAATACTGAATAGATAGGTAGATTGTAATTTATATAGCTCTATATTATATAATATAATTTAAATTTATCAGTGACGAGTACGAGTTAACGACATTGGTAAATTTCACCGAATGTCTTAAATTATACCGTCCTATACCTGAATACAGTTGTAGGTATGCAATATGCATCATTTGCGCCGTGAAAATATCAAAAATCCGTTAACTCTGTTTAAACAAATAACCTTTACACAATGTAAATATAGAAACACGCCTCAACCACCTGTTTATTGATCAAAATAGGTATGAATAACACTAATATAATATAGGTACTAGTGTACTACTACAGGGTGATTCACCAATCACCAGGCATACTCCCGTTTTTCATTTAATGATGAATTTATTAAACATTTTAAATATACCTGAAGACTTATGCCATATTTTGGTAGATTAATAGATTTTAATGGATTAATATTATTCACTAAAATATTCAAATTACTATAGCCTTTGCATTTGGACACTAAGTGTCTATAGTTAAATAACTCAAAGTCTACTCGTTCCAGTTTTGATTTTAGAAATAGAGGTTTGTACCTCCATATGGCAATGCTTGAGTAGTACCGATAAAATCTTAAGAATTTAAAATTATATATGAAAATTATAATTAAATTCCAAAATCAGATATCGCCAAACTGCATTATTGAAGTTGAAAAAAATAGGAGTGAGCCCCATGAGTGTGCTTGGCCGGTCGCTGTAGCCTAGATATTTCCCCCTCCCCCTGGCTTAATGTACGTGGGTTCTTTTACAGCAACATTCTTCAATGGGATTTTCACTGCGATTAAAAATAGTTAAAGATTTTGACGATTAACTGCGTACCATTTAAACGCGTAATCGCGTACCGATAAGATGATTTGTCGTCATAGGCTGTCCGTGCCTTGTGGACATAGAAGATAGAACCGACAATCTATCAGGCAACACTATATAAACAACGTAAAGCATTAATTACGAAGTGTTTATATCAACTATGAAGTGTTCGGATGCAGCTCAGTGGTTAGTGAATCAAATTTTTCCTGCTTAACACGAATCGAAAACTCTCAGGGCACAGGGACAGTCGACAACTCATGATAGGCTATTTAACTTTTTACAATATTGGCATTTGAATAAAAATTGAAAAAAAAACCAAATTTTTTGAAAGAATTAAATTTGAATTCAAACAGGGTATTGTAACTGTATTAAATATTAGTCTTGTATAATAGTATTAATTATTACCACCAACTACCTATTTTTCATAATATGGGTAGATTCTATAAAATAAATCTATAAAATGATAACTAGGTAGTAGGTATATCATCAATCAAAGTACATTTCATAATATTATTAGTTATAATTATAAATTATTTTAAAATATCAGATTCATAAAATCAACACAATTTTATACAATCATGCAATTGTATTATGCCCCCCTTCACAATGTGGTCGAGCTACGGACCTGGTGCTCGGTGAATCACGCTGTATAATAATATTATATAGCCAAGTATTATATTACAATAATAATGAAATACGATTGAAATACAATTTCGGTTTAATCTTCGTCGTCGTTGTCGTCGTCGTCACTTTACATTATAATAGTATAATAATAATTTGTTTACATATATTATACACTCGTTGAACGTTCGCGCACGCACAACACACACAATTATAATAATAATAATAAATTACGTATCTCTGTATGATCGTGCGTGTGCGTAATATATATGTATATTGTAATATAATAATAATAATATAATATTATTATTATTATTATACGCGTTCCAAGGTAGGCCAGAAGAGTCACCGCCGCCCGAGACAGACGAGATTGGATTTTGGGGGGGTGGTTTTCACAGTGGTCCGCGGCGGCGTCGGCGGTAAAATATTTTTTCTTTTTCTATTTCACTTTTTTTTTCCCTCTCAATCGGCTGACCGAACACATTGCCGTCACGTCGCCGTCACTGCGCGCGCCGTGTGCCGACTTGCTCTTGGCCGTGTCACCGTTGCCGTCGTTGTCGTACAACCGTCGTCGTCGTCGTCTGGTCGCCGCGCGCGCTTTTTATACCGCTCTTGGCGAGTGTTTACCTGTGGTTATAAAATACCCGAGTGATAATAATAATAATATTATACCTGTGTGATAATATTTGGAAAAAATACAAATAGATATTATTATTATTTTAATAGTATAGTATAATTATAATACGATATAATAATATAACATTTATATCACACCGATATTATTTTACGTTATTATTATTATTTTTCGTCGTCGTCGTCGTTGTTGTTGTTGTTGTTGTTTTTGCCGTGGCCGTCGTCTGTACAGTTGTTTTTGCGTTTCGGTTTGTTATCTTTCGGAATTTTATCGAAATTTTGACGGCCGAGTCGAGAACTAGGTACCCGCGCAACACGCAAAAACAAAAAAACAACGATTTCGCGCGCTCACAAACGGTTTCCGCGATCGAGTGCCCCCCCAACGACATTATAATATTATATTATATGAAAAAAAGTTATTCGTGTCGAGTTATTATTTAATTTTTCGATTAGATTTAATTTCTTCTACGTTTTACCATTTTTTTTTTTTTATCCGTCGATCGCGCCTATATATGACTCATAGGTTTGACCGTACGGCGAAAGAAACCCTCTCGAAGGCGACAAGATTGTTCATCGCACGAAAAACATTATTACGAACTTTTCAAAAAGCCGTTAGATGTTTAAACGTGCCGGTAGCGTATAAAAAACGCACTTACCTACCTTCGCTGCAAGACAATATTATTAAAGTGAGTATAAAAAATAAACCTTTATGTAATGCTGTTTGCTCGGCTGTTTGGTATATAATTAATTTTTTTTTATCCGCATGTTTAAATAATAATAATTATTATTATATTAATTAACTAGGTACATAATAAACAATATAATATTATACGCCTACACATTTTGTTCTTTACCGATGTCAGATTTCGTAAAAACAAAATATTATTATATTATATTTATAATATCTACTCAACCGAATTTTCCACTACAGATACTATACCTACTTCGATCTCTATAATCTACAACGAAAGATCTCAGTTATAACGCATAATGTCTATATTTCCTAGTTTATAATATTTTCAATTTTCAATTTTATAATTGGTTGGTAGGTTCCTATAAAGTTCGTCTTAAGTTACAAAATACCCATGTCCTATTGTAAGCATATTATTATAAAACCGACAAAGACGTTTAGACCTATCTAATATACTAATTATAAAATAATATTATTTAAACTATATTACCTGTACGGCTGTGTAAGTACCTAACTACCTACGACGTGTTTGTAATTTATTATTATAATAGTAATATAGGTACCTATAATATCGTTTTCGAGAAATGTCGACACAACCAACATAACTCGTGTATTTTATATAATATTATAAATCGAGTATTTTATATAATAATAATATATAGTTGGTAACTATATAGTTTATGTATAAAAGTCGGTCAAGTTTACGATGATAAATTTTATTCGATTGTTCGAAAATATATTTGATCGAAAAATTATAATTACGCAAAGTCTGTCACGGTGTAACATTCGTGTTTATGTTTATCATACTCGCCAATAATATATTACAAAAGTCGAAAAGTGTACACATTTAGTTTAATACAATATGTTAGCTCTATACGCGTAAAAAATATACATTTTTAGAATTCACCTAAAATTTTCAAAGTTTAATAATGTCATTTCTGGAAACGATTCAAACTTCGTTTATACTTTTGGACACTGAAGTTATAATAGGTCTATACCACGGCTGGTTAGGTTAGGTACCTATAAATGTGCTTATAAACCTCCTCTCGTTCGGCGTCGACGTCCCGACGGTCATCGCAAACATCGTAAAATTCCGAGTAAACCTCATTGGCCCGCCCATCGTAAGAATATTGTTTATTTCGCTATTGATATTAATATAATTTCGGTTTGCCGGGCCAATCACCGCTTTTCCCGAAAATCCTGCAGCCGTGTCGCAGTTGTCTAAATCGTGGGTTTTTTTGTTTTCGTCAATGGTTTTCGCGGTAGCAAGGCAACGTATTTAGAAGTTTTGGCGGAGAGTTTCGAAATAATTACGCAGATGATGTGTGTGAATAATAATATAATAATAATATGTAAAATACTGGTTTAATTCGGTCGTCGAGTCGTCGTTTGCACGCGCGTTGCGGATGACAGCAGCGCGCGCGTCGTGCAGGTGATTTACTCTTTTTAACCATCTGCCATTAATTTCAAAAAAGAACAAGCAATTATTCAAATCTAGGTACTTTATGTCAAAAATATGGACTTTATGCGTCTCGTTCGTTAAACACAATTCCATTTCTATTACCTATGCCCATTATGGGGTTTTGTCCGAATTCTCGAATGCGGTCCATGCAGATTACGTCGCATATTACATTGTATAATATGTATAGGTACCTACCTATAGGTATAGCACCATATAGGCTACGTACTGCTACATTGTTAACGCTGTTAATCATATTATAATAATGTGTTGTAATAATTATTATGGTATTATTCTTGAAATTTCGGAAGCTAGAAACATTCACCATTTGATTGCAACAGGTTTTATTTTTAAAGTTCATCGTTTAAATTATTCATATTATTTGGTAACCTACCTATTGGGGATGTAATAAAGGCAATATACTAAAGTACCCATAAATTTGATCAAAACGTAAAAATTAAAAATTAAACAGATGAATAAATATTTTTTTTCTAATAATGATAAATTAGAGCAATTATTATTATAAGCAAATATAATTTTAAAAATATCTGATTTATGTATGTAGGACATTGTAGGTACTAGGTTCCTATCTAGACTACCTATCAGGGGCACAATTTCAATGAAAAATCTGGGGATGCTAAAACCCTTCTATTTTTTTACATGTTATTTTATGGTTATGGAAATCAGCTTAAAATGTAAATTAACATGAACAAATTTGGGGGTGCTAAGCACACCCATTTCCCCTTATTAATGGTACCTATTATACTGTTATACAAATTTCAGTACCTATAGGGTACCTACGTTTCTACATTATAATTTTCTTTATGAAAAATAAAGAATGCCCAACATTCCCATATATTTTCTATACATTGAATGATTTCAATAAATAAAATAAATAAATAATAGTGTTATAATAATATGCTATATGTCAGAGGAATGAGTTTTTACTCAATTTTCACTTGTATTACTAATTTTATATCTACTAATTTCAGTATAATGTACCTATTATTTCTTAAAATAGATACCTATATATTATAAATTTATAACCGATTACGATATTATTTACTAAAATATTAAATTAGCAATGTGTGTGTATATTTGACAAATTGAATAACGTATAGCAAACAGTTTCGGGAAAATCTTTTTATTGATCAAACGAATGTTGTAATGATTTGATTAAATCATCAGTGAACTTCCTCAGCAATTCACATTAAATTAAATTATAATCTGTTTTTTAGAAAACAAATTTTTTAAATAGTTAACAGTTTGGTTTATATTAATATGTTTATAATTAATTTAAAAGCCATTACTTGGTTTAAGTATATTTTATAAGTTCAATGTAAGTCTCATATATACCTACAAGTCCGTATTTATGGTTATCATCATCATCATAACTGGCTTTTATAACTCTATTAGAATTTTTGCCTGCCAACTGGTTATAAATACAAGAAATATCTGCCATACTTATTATATACCTAGGTGCATACAACACATTTTTATCAAATTGTATAATACAGAACACTTGTAACTGTACGGGGCTATACATCAATATTATTATAGGTAGGTACCTGAAAATATACCATCCCGATTTTTTAAAAATAATTCGTCATACAAGGATGATAGTATTATTGTATTAAGTCCTCGATTAAAGCAGATTTTATCTCTGAACTATAGTACCTGTATTTTGTATACACTTCTTGTTTACACATTACTCATTAGCCATTAAACAATGTACATTATAGCCATTACCATTAGTAATTCGTTAATGCAATGAAACTGATACTCGAGGATACTTATACAAAAATATTGACGTGTACCACGGGAAACGGACATACGTTTTATATGACAGTACATAATAATATATATTAGTATATGACTATATATTATTGCACCAGTATACCTATACCTAGTGTTTGAAAATTTCATGAAATTTAAAAAAATGAAATATTTCGTGAAATATTTCATGAAATATTTCAAAATATGTGAAATATTTCAGTATTTTAATATATTTTGTTTTATTTTTAAATAAGTTTTATATTTACATATAATTGTCATAAATTACCTTCATCACTATATGGCACCTGTATGTATACCTAACCTTTGGTATTATACATTTAAATTGGTATTCAAAATTTTTAAATATTTTAATGTTTAAATGATACAAGTAGGTATACAATATTATACATGTATATTGTATACTTACTGAATTCCGACATTAGAATTTAGAACACTGAACATTGTGTTAAAAAAATAAACAAATTGTGTTTTTATTTGTGTTTAAAAAAATTTCAATGTTTCACGTTTTTGTGAAATATTTCATGAAATATTTCTCATACTTCAAACACTACCTATACCTCCATTCGATATATTTTTAAGCCGTCATCATGGTGGCGTCATGACGTAAATGATAGCTATAAAATTATGTGAACTGGTCCCTCTATTAAACGATTCTGGCCACCTCTATGATATTATAGGATGTATGAATCATGAATATATTTCTATTAACACAATAAACGTTACCAGAGCGCAACAATGTTGTTTTTTTTTTAATAATGTAACAAGGAATATTAAGGTACATTATTAAAAAAATTATAGGTACACTGAATAGTGGTTGGATTCGATATAACAATAATTCAAACATAACTACTTATTCTTAGCTTATTTTTAAATAATTGTATAATTACCGTAGTAGACTATTATTTACGTATAATCAATACATCAATGTGTACATATACGAGTGTTAATATGTATTTTAAACTAGAATAGTAGAATAATTATTATTATTTTGTATAATATGATGTGTAAATTATGATATTTTTTTAGTTATACCTATTACGTAGATGTTTGAACATGGTATTAAGTAGTAATATTTCGTATTTAAATGGGTTTGAATTTTATGGTAATACCAAGTTATTTGTAATTTTAAAAAAGTATAAGTTGAATATATATACCTTAATATAGTAATGAATCCGTAGATATTTTATAGAATTATAATATACGAACACAATATTTAGGACTCAATTATTGCCACCTTCAATCTCCATGTCAACACAAATAAAATATAAAACAATGATTACAATAATAACCTAGGTATACCTATTATTATCAATGTTAAAAAATAGAATTAAAATAATAATAATAAAATAATAAAATAATAATATAAAATAACTAATAACCGCACATTTTCCGACGAATATAGTTTATAGACACCTACATCTCTATTGGAAATAATAAAAATGTATCCTTATAGCCACATAAACTACAGCACAATACTAACAAAATAAATCTAATACTATCCGAATCCGTAGTGCACATTGTATAATAAAGTTAGTTGCACACTTGCACACGATTTTCAAACCGGACACTCCAATAAATTATTAGGTTTCTTATAATGTTATGACTCGTGTGTCAATGCGTCACACATTATTAGAGAAGAGATCGAGTTTTGGAAGATGCGTTGTATAATCATTTAATTATGAAATGTGAATTCAATGATAAGTAATCGTATTATACGAAAATCTTTAATTCTTAGTTAA